GTGAGGCTGCGGTCCTCGGAGAAGCGGAACGGCGACCGCTGCTCGTCGAAGCGGAAGGGGCTCTTGAGGGCGTCCGACTCGCGCAGCAGGTTGCTGAGGCTGTGGTGGTGGCCGGGCAGGCCCGGCGGCACGGGGCCCATGAACAGCCCGTTGTGCGGGCCCAGCAGGCCGGGCGCGCCCGACAGCAGGTTGTTGTTGCTGCTCAGCGTGTTGTTGTTGCTGCAGAGGCCGCCCTCCTCGGACGGGCTCTTGGGCGAGCCGTTGACGAGCAGGTGCGGCGGCAGCGGCGTCACGTGCGGCGCGTGCGGCGAGGACGCGGGCGTGGTGGTGGTCGTGTTGGCGCCGCCGTGCACGGGCGTGCTGGCCGAGGGTGTCGACCGGGGCGGCGCCGGCGAGGCGGAGCGCGCCGACCCGGGCCGGCTGCTGGCCAGGGAGGCCCGCTCTTCCTCCTGCTGAGTGCCGTCCTCGGACACGTCGAGGGCGCCCTTCTCGCCATCTGCAGAAGGAGAGTGCTGGCTTAGTGCTGGCGGCGCTGAGGGCTGCGGCGGCGGCGGCAGGTGCTGGGGGCCCTGGTGGGGGCCCTGGTGGGGGCCCGGGCCCGGCGCCCCCCCGGGGGACTGCTGGCCGCCCCCCCGGCCCGGCCCGCCCGGCCCGCCCGGCCCCTGACTCAGGACGGTGCGCTCCAACGACCGTCGCCAGTTGGACACAATCTCCTCCCCGAGGAAGGAGCCGAACGTCTCCACGTTCTGGAGGGCGGAGGGCGGGAAGGCGGGGTGGGGGAGGACGGTGCTGTTTGAGCCCTGCGAGCCTGCAGACAAGGAACAGGCCGACGAGTCTTAGGCGCTGTCCCGCGTAGCGCTCACCACCAGGCACCCACCCGAGCCCAAGCACACATTTAGTCACAAAGCAACAAGAACGTGTTCTTAAAACAATAAAACAGGAGACAAATCGTTTGTTTTGTTGTCAGCGTTCTTTTTTGTTGTTGTTTTAATTTAGCAGTCAAAGCGAGCACTGAGCATGCAAAAGGGTGTAAGTTGGGCTTAGGGTGAGAGGTAGGCAACCGCTACCATGCCAGGCAGGCAGAAAAGGGGAAGGGGTGTTGGAAACAGTATGGAGCGAAATGGGGACGCAACGACGATATTCGCGAAACAGAACCATCAAATTTTACACCTAACCGTGAGGACGCCCCCCCCCCTCCCTCGCGCGCAATCCGCCTTCGCCCCCAGACCTGCTGCTGTGGTTGTAGAAGAGCCAAACTTTTGCCCAGATAATTAAGCCCGACACTGTTTTCCTTTCGTTTTGCCCGTCACGCCGCCGTCACGCCGCGCCCCCGCGGGTCGGGGGCGGCCGGGTCGTCACGTTCGAGAGATTAGCGTCACATAACATTATCGACGTGAGTGCGAGCGAGACAGAGGCGCGCAAAGCCCTCGCGATGGCGTTACGATGGTGTCGCCTTAATTGCCCCCCCCCTCCCCCTCCACCCCGCTCCCTTTCGACACGTAACCGCCGTCACGTGACTAGTGCGCGCAACCACCACGCCGTGCCATTTCGTTTGCAAACGACCCCGCCGTCCCATCCAGAGCCAGACGACGACGACGACGGCGGCGGCGGAGCTCTCAATACGCTTTTGGACCGGATGGCACCGCCGCCCCGCCACGCCCCGCCCCGCCACGCCACGCCACGGTGAAACGGGTCATCACCGTGTTGCGATAATTGCCTAGAGACTGACGTGTTCGTAAACTCCCCTTAAAAGAGGCGTTATATCCGCGGACGGGCGGTGAGCCCCCCTCCCCTTTCCCTCACCCAGTCGTGAATAGACCTCTTGACTGACCACTCCCCCTCGACACCCACCACCACTACTAAACCTCCACTTCACTATCACAACCACCCTCCCCTATTCATCTACACACGACCTGCCGCCTTTCTACCGGTTTTATCCATTCGCGATCAAAAAAACAAAAAAAGAGAGAAAGAGAAAAAAGTAGCAACAGACAAAACAAACAAAATAGCAGCTGGTTAAAAAAAAAATTGTGAACGACACGCTAACTGGGAAACAATATGGTATTTGTAGACAATAGCAGGACAATGACACGGGGAGAACAGTGACGGGCATCGCGGACACATGGCGGCGCGTGGCGTGGCGTGGCGGGCGGCGCGACTCCGGACCCCTGCTCCCCTTCGGACACCCTCCCACACACAGAGGACTAGGCCGTCAGTTTACCTGGAAGCTCCTGCTTGATCTTGAGCGACATGGCCTCGGAGGCGAGCCGCGCCCGCTCAGAGGCCCTCTCCTCGGTGCGCTCGGCGGCCGCTGCCCGCTCGGCCGCGGCGCGCTCGGCTGCCAGCGACAGCTCCCGGGCGCGGTATATGCTGCAGACAGAGAGAAACAAAAGGGCGTATTAGTCGCGGCCACAAGGTGTACAGGGCTGCAGGGCGAGGTGGTGGTCTAGCAGGGCGAGCAAGACGGTCGCCGCCCGGGGCTGCTGGGCCCGAGCGCCCGACAAGGGCCGGGTAGGCAACCGGGACGCACGCCCGCGCTCGGGTTGCCTACCCAGCGCCCCTCCCCGCTGCCGGGCCCAGGCCGACTGCTCGACTAACTGGACCACAGCGGTGCGATACCGTTCGTATGTCGGGCGGAGAGTACTTTTTACTTCATCCTCGTCAAAGTTTTATCTACAATGCTCGCACAACCATGTCATCAGTTTATTTTCATCTTAAATATTACCCGCCCATGCACAAACTTCTCTGGATGAGGCCGCATGCTCTTTCTCCCGGGGGCATAGAGGACAATAACCACGACTGCATCTATATATACGCGTGTATCAGCCAACAGGTGGGGACAGCCAGGCTGCATGATCGCACAGCAGTGACGAGGGGACGGACGGGCCGACGACAGACAGATAGACCAGTCGACCGGCCGACCGACCGGCAATCAGCAATCATTCGGCACGAGACACACTCACACACACACTCACACAACGGCGCGAGCGGCAAACAATGGGAAAACGGGTACTGTCCCGTGACATGGACGGCGAACCGAACCGCTTTCTGCATGAGCGGCTGTGCTGTGGCCCCGCGCGGCCCTTCCCCCGCGGGGAGCCCCCCACCCGTCATTCGGATTGAATTGGTGGCCGCAAACGTGAGCGTGCGCGCGGAGCGGGACAGAAGGACCCGCGGGGGCCAGCGCCACCACCACCACCACCGCGACCCCATACACGTCCAGGAGGTCATGTGTGTACCGCTATACAGATCGCTGGGGGAAAAGACCAATAAAGTCCATCAGCATGGAGAGAGAGAGTTGAGTTTGTGTCCCGCGCGTCCGCGTCCCTTGTCGTCCCGTCAACACACAATAGGAGATCACCCCGCCCGTGGCATTCCGGTGGGACGACGAGTCGAGTACATCCACGTGCG